ACACACTGTTTCTTGAGAAACAGGAATAATCTGCTGAACATCAGTGCAACAGAAAGCCTTTTGGTCTGTTTCAGTTTGACTCATTATCTTAGTCACCAGCCACTGAGGTTCGTGGCCTCAGCGTTTGTTGTACATATGATGCGTGGGTGACAAAACTGCTGTCGGTGGAGATTTGGGAGCAAACGGAGGACGAGGGAATCGTACTTCAGCAGGCTATTCCAAGACAGCTGCTCTACTCCAGAATCCGAAGGGAGAGGCAGGAATTGTTTTTGAATGACACCGACCACTGCTGCAAAAGCTTTGGTGTTTTTCTTTTTTCCAGTTCCATTGCAAAACAGTAATTGAAGCATATTGGTTTCATCTCTACTTGTCTCCTCTGCCCCTCTCCCTTTGGAGTCCAGCTCGTCTTCCCGGCGTTCCGCACACCCAGACCGTTGCTTTCTCTCTGATATATTGTGTGGGATTCCGATACGTCATTGCAACTTGCAGCAGATATACACGGAAATTAAACTCAAAACCCCCAAACAGGAAGAGCCACCCCTCCTTTGCATTTATTTATTTATTTTCCTCGTCACGTCTGCAGCTCCAGCATCCCTTTCAATCACTGTCCTACTCTTCCCCAGCTCCGTCCTTTCTTTGTCTTTTCTTATTCACTCGTTTTCCGCGTGCCTTTTTTCTCCCCTTATATCCTCTTCATGGTAATGAGCAGAGTTACAGTGTTGCAGGCAGTTCCTGGTTAGGGAGTTAATTAAAATGGCAAGTTACAACCCACATAATCAAAACAATGGAGGCCCCTGCTTTTTGCAGTGATACTGGGAGATATTAAACAACCCTGAACTTAGTGCTGCTGCCTCCGCAGAGGCATTTGACTCCTACCCAGCCTCTCCTAACACTTCCCCTCCTGGAGCGCTGAGGGGCTTACTGTTGCCCTCCCCAGGCTCGTTGTCATAAACCAAAGCACAGCCCGTAATTACTTTGGGTGCTTCTTGAGCTGCTGCATGAAAAGTAGCTGTGTACAAAAAACAAGAGCGATCACTGCAGCGTTTACAGTACAGATGCTGATCAGGAGGGGATCCGGGGGGGTCCACATGTACACACACGCCTATTTTCAACCCAGCCACCTCACTCGCACAGTGACATAAACATGCAACACAAACGAACCCATCAAAGGATTTGTTCTAGCGTGGCTAGCACAATGCATCGCACTCAAGCTCCAGCAACAGTGGGCCGGCTGAGCAGGGCAGGAGCTGTTGCTATGGTTACCCCTTCTCGGCTCGCTCTCGCAGCCCAGGAAAACTGTGTCATTATCCTGTACTCTGGACAGGAGGAGAGGGGAGGGGACACAAAGGGAGAGGATGAGATAGAAAGGGGAGACAAAGATAAAAAGGCAAGGAGGGGAGAGCGGGTGCCGTTCGCTCTGGGTAGGGAAGCCATGCATCCAACTACGACATTATCAAAATTTGCACCCACTTTTGGTCACAATTCTCTCTCTCTCTCTCTCTCTCTCTCTCTCTCTCTCTCTCTCTCTCTCTCTCTCTCTCTCTCTCTCTCGCTCTCTCTCTCTCTCTCTCTCTCTCTCTCTCTTTCCATGTGTCAGGAGAGCTATGTGTTTTAGTGTAAAAGGTAAACAGCTTCAGCGCTGACGAGTGATGCTTGAATGTCAGGTGAAAGTGGCACAATGTCACGTGATAATGGGACAGGTTTCCCTTCATTCTAAAGATTGTCTACCTTTTGTCTTCTCTGTTAGTGAGGACATCAATCTCTAGAGCATCTCGTTTGTCTTAACACACCGTCAGACATATACAGTATACCCCCAATGACAACCCTTGCCAGTTAAATAAAGACACAGCACCACAATAACGGCGTTTCAGCTGGAGAACGAGCTCCTTGTGAAGAGACTTAATTTCTAACCTCAGAGACGCAAAGAAAATAACTTTGGTGTTTCTCATGGGCGGGGGTTATTTTGCTGTTTGTGCAACCTGAGGTGGACTTCATAGGAGTTACTGTACATTGTGAACTAATTACGTAGCGGTGTAAATAGAGGCGCCCTGCTGATATGGGCTGTTCGCCACATGATTTCCCCTGGTGCAGCAGAGCCTGTTTGCACCGCCTTGCTGTGCTCTGTGTGCAGGCGTGCATGTGACCTATACATGCAGGTATATAGGTGTGAGCTGATGGAGTGTATGTTTTCAAACCCATGAGGTGAGATGTTTTGGAGCCACAGGCTAAAAGAGTGTGTTTTTGATGGGGGTAAGCAGAGTAGCCCCTCCAAATGAAAGGCTGCGCTCCCACTTCTCTGTCCACCAAACACAGCTCCCCAGAGAGACCTGTTCATATTACTGCAGCTGTCTGCTGGTCAGAAACAAACAGTGCTAAACAAAGCCTCCTTCAGTAACAATGTGAGAAAGAAACTTGTGTAGCCCTCATTTATTGTCCTCTACACTGGTGTTGTTTTTCTCTCCCCTCCCTCCTTTTGTCCAGCAATATGATAGAAGGGAGAGAGGAATGAGCGTTCAGCTCAGGGCTGAGAATAGATGAGATGTGGGGAAACTCTCTTTGACACATTTTCAATTACTTCTGCCAATTACATCTCAAGGCAGGTTAGGGCTGGGTGTAACGTTTTTACAGCACGCGCCTAGGAGCAACGTAGGGGCAGGAGAAGGAAGGGCAGCTGGTATGAAGAGTCAGTCTGGCACATGATTTGATTGATTGATTGATTGATTGATTGATTGATTGATTGATTGATGGAGGGATGGATGGATGGATGGATGGATGGAACACAGTCAGCCTTACCCTGTAAAAACCAAGTACCTTGAACTCTAGAGCAGCAAATACACAATTTAAAGCAGCATCATAATTAATGTCTCTAATGCCTGCAGCAATCTTGTAAAACCACTTTCTGGGAGAGAGCAGGGCATTGGTTTAGAATAAAATACTTGATTTATGTGTCTGATTTCTTTTTATCTTTTAATATTTTTCCCATATTTCTTTTTCTACATTTTAAATTCTAATTGTGATCTTTCAATTTAATTTTAAAAGGTATAAAGTCTGTGGTTTCCAAGCCTGCTGTTCTGTTCATTCCCACACATTAGACGATTATTACAAAAAGCCAAAGCCTCTAATTAGAGCTGATCAATTAGTTGTAGCCATGGAGAATTTGAGTGATATTGACAAGTCTGCTGGAAAGAGTGGAATATTTTCTACTTTTTTGGATGGGTGCTTACATTTAATAACAACTGTATCTGAACAAAACATTTAATTCCTATAAATAATTAGAAAAATGAGGTGTGGCTGGTCCCCACCATGCAAAACCCCCATAGACTTGGTTTTAGACATATTAGTTCAGGTTAAGGTTAGTGTTAGAACAGGGGGAAATGTTGTCAAATCACCAACTTTTTTGACACACTATGGATAAAAAGCTTCCATAAAACTATTTATACATGTGAAAAATAACCAGTGGAGCCTGTTAAAAAAAACATAAGTATGAACAATAGTCATTACTTCTTCTTTACTCTTTAAAGAGTAACTAAACCCCAAAATAACTTCTTTTTTTGCTATAAACTGTATAATTGGGTCTTTACAAATGTAATCGTTCAGTTTCTGTACATTTTTGACATGTTTGTGTAAACTTGATTAAATGTAGAATCGAGGTCTAAAAACATCTTAGTGCTGCCCCCTGTGGGTTGAACTAGAGCTACTGCATTTTAAACTTGTGATTGACTGGGGCTGGTGCATTTTCACCTCATCGGTACAGTCTCCTCCCACTCCCCCTCCCTCCTGGGATGGAAATTCCCCACATTGGCCATGCCACTGTGTGCCTCCTGGCAACGCCCACTTTCATAGCATTTTTCAAATCTTGACTGGGGTGGAATTATGTTTTCTGAGGGTGTGCAGTCCCTCTTTAAATGTGTCTCATACATGTTGTAAATATTCACTCTGATGCTGTAAGCTTCTAATGAAACAGATGAAAACATTCTAAGGCTTTTCGATAACTCATATTCAGAAATGCTGTACAAAATATGTTTGGTCCAAAGTTGGCAGCTGCAGAAATTTATTCTCTAAACTTTTCTGTTCTGAAAGGTCTAACAGAATTTCAGATCTACAGTTGCATTCACACTCATATGTTAAAGGTGTGGATGACTGAAAAAACTTTTTTTTTCTGATTAGTTTTTCATGCAGGCTGAACATGAACATAGTCTCCTACAGCTATCCTATTAGCCTCTGATAGAAAACAGACGATGAAACTGTAGGATTTGAAAATCCTGACAGATCTTTGTCACACTGCCGCTTAACATTCATGGACTCACCCATCTTGACTCACGACAGGGAAGGTTGTTGCTGTTTTTAACGTTCGGTAAACAGCAGCGGACTTCTCGGCTAGTTTAAGCTAACAGTTAGCATTAGCAAATCCACCACACGGCAGAAGCTCCTCCAGGCTTGAGTAATTTGTGGAGATAAAACATCAACATTGCAAGTCAGCAGTAGAGTTGCGTTGCTGTTATCCAGTCCAGGGTGAGATGTCCAAATATCATAAATATTAGAAATGGTGCACCCAGAGAATGACTTACAAGTCATTCATTCCTACTAGGGATGTCTGCAAATGTATTGATGAAACGAGTGAACTACTCCTTTTACAATATTCACTTGGTCAGGTCTAATGACTGTGTAGACGTTTAAGGATGCTAAGTCTTGTTTGGTTAATATTGGTGACTTTTTTGTTTCCAGTGAGTTAATGGAGGAACTAGTAGTACTAAAATAAACACAGCATATGTAGACGTGCCTTGTCATGATAAGGGATCTAAATCTTCAGCAGCAGTTTTGGGATTTACTCTGTAAAGTTTCCCTCCCGATCCTGCTCAAATCAGTGCTGGCGTTACCATAATTGCCATTCTCGACGTCTCATTTCTGTGCCTCCTGACTGCGGATTTGGAAATAGTGGCTGCGGCAGAATGAAAGTGCAATCACAACTAATCAGAGCTTTTCTTGTTTCCTGCCCACAGCGCCCAACACTGCACCCTATGGGAGCACAGGAAGCGCACACGTCCCGCTGGCCTGCCGGTACCTGGTCCTAGCTCTCTCCTCCCTCATCAGTGTGTACTAGCAGAGGCCAGCCCAGACACAATGACTGTCGAGAGAATTTATGAAACCTTTTTGTGACATTGCTGATGGCTGAAATCTGATCCTGGTACAGTTTGTTGGAAAGCTGAGGTGGGAAAATAATCAACTTCACTTTTCTGTGAGGGAATCTTTTTTTTTTTTTTTTTTTGGTGAAAATTCTGTCATGTATAAAATTATAATGATGGTTTTTAATATTATTACCTCTCATGTACTTTTTTTTCTGATTGAATGACCACCTTATGAATTAGTGCTCTCTTCTTCCTATCACCATATCAACAGCCCCTTAAACTCCCAGTTAGATCATTGTTTCCATGTATTTATTTTATGCATCTTATTCCTGCGACGTGTCAGCGTTTTCATTTGTACATGACAAAAAAGAAGCAAATGTGCCAAGTCTCTGATTACAAACGTTTCCATAGCAGTGTTGTATTGAATGTATTATGGGCTGTTGAACTAAGGAAAATACTTTTAGATTCCTAACAATCGTTCCTTTGATTATGGGGTGTGCTTAACAACAAGACATAAAGAACAAACAAAAAAAAAACATCAAGGTTTATCCAGGACCTGTATTGGCATGAATTCTCACAGAAAGATGAGCAGTGTTGTGTTTGAAAAAGGATCCCTCAGTTACCGTTCCTGCCAAACCGCTTTCCATCAGGCAGCCGTCAAAGTAGCAACGTACACTGTTTTATCACAACTATATTTTTAATAGGGTAGGCTTTTGGTTTGTACGTGGGACCAGCTTTTCTCATTCCACATTAACCCGAATCGCATCTTTGTACAGGTTGAATGGAGGAACACCTCTTCCTTTTTGTTTACATCGTCCATGAAAATATAAACCACAGTATATTCTTATTTGGAGTGAGTCTGGATGTGTCGGGAGAAATTATTGCCGTTAAGAGGGAAAAAATTCAGGACTTTTTAGAACTAATGGCCTCCAGTAGGCGTCGGTGCGGAACACCTGCCTCTGACATCACAGAGCTACTACTGATCCTCTCTGGCTACGTGTAGTAGTTTCTAACGTCTGACTAGAGTACTCGTTGTTAAACACAGATGTGGCATAAAGAGCGAGCATAGCATTCAGATAATCAGCATCCATAAGAGTTCAGACCAAATAAAAGCATAAAGTCTTGTAATTGGAGCCCCTGTCGCTGGCCACCGACTGCAATCAACCATATAAAAGGGTCAAAACGTGCAAAGGTTTCCTTTTCAGACAGGACTGTCAGGGCAGCACATCCATCCTCGACCCGTGCTGTGAACAGAGAAACTGTACTGTAATGCCTTAATAGAACCATAAACACACATATGTTTCCTTTTTTTTCCAGAAGCTCTCTTTGCTGATGACTGAATGTTCAAAACCCATCACTTGAGCTGTCTGTGAGACAAGGTGAACCTGTAAACTGGCAGCTCTCGTAGGTGTTCTCACACACGTTTCTGATTCCTTTACATGTTTCCGAGATGAGTTTGGGTTCAAACTGTGTTCCGTTTCGCCCCACGACCAAGAAACAAACTACTCAAGTATTTCCACATGTGAACTTCTGACTGCAAATCTGTAGAACGATAGCCATCGCAGTTAAAAGGCTTAAAGCACAAACACTGTCATGAATTTATGTGGTGCTTTGATTTATTCCTGTTTGCGTTTTTGTTTTTATTTTTTAACCAGATTGTTTTACAGATTCTGAAAATACTGCACCATATGTTTAAATGTTAAACTATAATGGAAATGGGTCAGACGTATATTTATTCTCTTCCTTTATAAAACCGATGTATAAACACTACATTTGAAACATGTAAAACTAAATATGTGACATTTATTTGAATGAGGCACAGTATGGCATAGTTTCTAATGTTGTTGGGTTCATTTAGATGCCATAACTGTTGTTGATTTAGGTACATTTAAAAAAGAACAAATGTTTGCTATTAAATTACCGACTTTTTCTTTATTTTTAGTTTGGTTTTGAATCCGAGGGTGTGAACCAGTATATCAGTATTATAGAACAGAATCAATGTGTGTATATTTGGAGAAAAAAAGGTACCTTTTGATCTGTAGAGCCAGTGTTTAGTCATAGTTTTCAGACACTTGCGTGTTTGACGATGTGCAGAGTATGGTTGTACTGCATGTTAAAAAAAATAACCTGTGTTTATAAGGTGGCCAATTTTACAGATTTCTGAATTTTTATGAATGAAACTTGTTTGTCTTTTTGTTTAGGTTTTTTTTTTTTTTTTACTTTTGGTTTCTGAACCTGGTCTGAAAATACATACCTCTACAGATCACCGGGCTGTGTTTGTATGTGATTTATTTCAATCAACCTTGTTAAGCTAAAACCAACTGCTCTTCATTTCTAATGATACTGATTGTTGTGGCACATTGTGGTGACAGTCTGGAGTTATGCTGGTTGCTTGTTTTGAGCACTTAAGACCCCGCTAGTATTCCTTACGAAATGTACTGGATGTTGATTATTATTTTGAATATGGTATTAACAATTCCCTTTTATCAAATCCGTATTATTTGCAATAAAAGTCTTCATGTTACACTGTAAAAACTACATCTGAGTTCATGAGCACTCAAAGGTGTTTGTTTTTGTAAGTAATCAACCCCCGTGTGGGTAATAATGTTAACCTTTATACTTTTTTTTAAAGCAAGTAGTCCACATACTTTACTTTCTTGGTCCCACACGAGTATCTTACATCACACTGGGTTGTATCAGCTCCTCAAAAAAATCCAAGAAAGTGAAGACTGGCTGTTATTTTCCAAACCAGAAGAACCAAAAATGTCTTAAAGTGTTTGTCAGAGAAGATTCTAGTTCGAGTTTTTTCCCCCAAAAGTTCCTAAAGAGCAAGAAATCTGCTGCTTCCATACTAACAGAAATATTAAATTCTGGCAAAGCTGCAAAAATAAAAAGTTTATGACGGCCAAAGTGACAGCTCACTTCATTTGTCCAGATGTTCTGGATGGTGCTGATGCACAGGCTTTCTGGCTGGCTGCAGCTTTTAGTTGGGTAAATCATTCTTGCAGTAACTTACTGACAAAGAGGAGCTCAGCTTTGATTGAAGTCAGCTTTAAAAACTCAGGAAAGCTTTAAATATTATATTTATCACTTTTGATTTGGCTTCAAACCCCATTTTGGGAATAGATTTAGATAAAGTCTCAAAATGATTGTTAGAAATTTAAAAATCACATAAGGTGATGGGATGTTGCGTGTGTAACCACAGTGAGCAATGAGCTTCTCCTTCATTCACATAGTTGCCATGGTGATGACTCAAACAGCAGAGAAGGTATCACTGCTCAGATATGCACTCAAACATCATCAAGTGGTGTCCAAACACGGCCAAATGGTGACCAGAACCCAACTAAATCACATAGCCACATCTGGACTCATTTATGATTAAAATAACTGCAGCTGTGCTACGTCTTAGCACAATAATAGTGAATAGTGTTTGTTTATTTCCATGAAAACCATTATTTGCCTCCCAGTGTGTGTGAGCCAAGCTGAGTCAAACACAACTCCACTTTAATATCATTACATTTATTATTATAAACACTAAACAACAGACATACCATAGGTCTGGTTTTTTATTGATGTGTGTTCTAAGTTCAAAACCCATTTTCATTAGTATTCATTTGTCATTATTTTTCTGTAATCTTCCTGTTTTCTGTACATTTCACTGTTTGTTCCTTTTCAGAAAAGGACCTTCAGGTCTTTACTGACAGTGAAATTCTGGCTCAAACGGGTTCAGGCGGAGGAACTTATCAGCGTGTCTGCAGTGTGCGCCTCCAGTTATTGAGTGGCTTTAATTGTGCAGGATCATGCATATCTGATCCCTGCCCTCTGGCATGCAATACTGTATAAATACTCCTGAGCTCAGATGGCCGTGTGCCACCACACATACAGTAGGATTAACCACTGTTTGCACAGCGTCGTCTTCATTGACTCCCGGGCGTCGCTTGGTGTATGCGGTCTTTTACAAACACAAGTCTTTCATCTTATTGTGCATCTGAGCTGGATCAGATTTTTATTTTTATTTTTTTCAAAATAAAAGCAAAGATTTCAAGTGTCGTATGACCTGAACATGATCTTGTTCTCAACATCCCAGTTGTGACAAACGTCAGAGAAAAATATTTGGCACACAGGCCTAGAAAAGGCTGTGCCACCCACCTGCAGAGAGCTCTGCCTCACTTTATGATCGCAGCTGACAGCAGAGGAGACAAGTAAAGTAAAAAATAAATAATACTCCAATTTCACCTTTAAGATGAGAGGATTTAAATTATTAGTTTGTTTAATATGCTCCCACAGTTCCCTTACCTTGAATTTCCCATTTCTCCCCTGTTCAAATGCATCTGAGACAAGCGAGTTGCATCATTTAAGCGTAGACAATCCTAGACCTGGAGTGCCGCTATCCAGTATGTTTTAGCACACCTTGAATGGTTGATTAACTCTAACCAAGTTATGAAGCTCTACAGAAGCCTGTTAATCACCTACTGATTAACATCAGGTGTGTTGGAACAGGAGAAAACCTAAAACATGCTGGATAGTGGCACGCCAGGACCAGCCTACTCCCGCTTTACACAAAAACACTGTACGGAATGCGCCTTTAGAGTCTTCAATCAGTCAGTGGACTATTACAACCCAGCACTTATGTAAAACCACAGCTGAGTTTACGGATTTGATTCTCATCTCAGAGGCGAGCTAAAGACATTTATACAAGTTTTAGATGTAAGACGGCACCACTTATGGGTGCATCTCTGGGGCGGTTTTATGGAACATAATTAATAGCTGTTCTGCCACATTTAACCCCCAAATAGGGCAGAATATAAGCAGTAAATTGTCATCATAATCAAAATAATTCTGATTAACGACCAGTTTAGTTTCAGTGTTGTCAGGATTTATCTTCCAGGGAGGAAGAGGCGGCCTTTAAATCAAGTCAAACTGCACACACAAACTGTTCTCACTGTTTGTTTTGGTTGGTCAAAGGTGCATTTGATGGGTGGATTAATTCATTTCTGGTGCTATTGACATCCTGGTCCTTTTATCTAACGAACAGCCAGGAATATTTTCAGGACCGTCCTTGTCCGGCTCTGCGTCGCTCTTGGATGGTGTGTTACAGTCAGTTCTCTGAAAAAGTCTTTTTTAAATGAAAAGGAGTGGTTCAAATGAAACTTGTTCTGCAGCAGTGAAGTGATCAGCACTGTGTTTGTCTCATCACAAATGACTTGTGTGAGGGATGAGCTGTTGTGAGAGGTTTCCTCCTGACCTTGTGGTTAATGAAACTCTTCCTGCACCTTTGTCAGGTTTAACTTGGAGATTGGGTCATGCGGCACGCTGGGGCTGCTGCTTGGCTCCTGCAGTCACCATCCCACAATCCTGAGCAGCATACGGAGTTGTCAGTATCAAAAAAATAAAAAAAATAACTTTTTTTCCTCTCAGTTGTGTAGATATGTTTGTTGCACAGCAGGCAGAAGCTTTCCCTCCTGTCAAAAGCAGGCAGAATGAGGAGGAAAACACTCCATGTAACCAGTGGCTGAGCACGTTTGATTCACATCTTGATGGGGGAGAAAAAACATGTCTCTTTTGACATGGGCTGCTTTCATTCCTCTCAGACTTTACAATATGTACCCAAACAGAGTAATTCTTCACCAGTGTGATCCTTCGTTTTCTCTCCAATCCCTGTGAAAACATAGCAACTCCAAGGGATTGGGGGTGGGGGTGGGGGTGTGTGGTGGGGGGGTTGTATTCTGAAAAGAGGCAGCATCAAGTATTTGTCAACCTGTCCCTCATTATTTCCAGTGAACTGGAAAATAAGTTGCCAGCCAATGATGCAGAGCCTCAGATAATGGGCTGGGTTTTAAAGCTAGCTTCCTGAACCGGGACTCGTCACAACGCTGATGACTGAATCACGCACCATCCGTGTTTTGAAATGTGATGCTCCTGCGGCAACTTTCAACGAGGACTGAAAGGATTGGGACAGAGGAAATGTCATTACCTGACCGACAGTATATGTAATCCTGTTTTATTTGTTTTCACCTCTCAAAAGGCAGAGTACATGTAGTTTTGCTCACAGGAAATCGCTGCATCATTTTTTACTTTTAGATTGTATTCTGACCGTCAGTGACATTTGAGATGCATCACTTCCTGCTTATTCTGTTCACTCATGCCAGGTTTACATTTTTGCTCAAAATGGGATTTACATTTTTTATTTTTATTTTTTTGGATCTCCTAATTGTTGATTTCATATCTTCAAACTGAAAAATGATGTGATGAAAAAGTCTGAAATGGAAATGTTTATATACATGTATATGGAAGGTCTCTTAGCCTCCAGGGGTTCTAGTTGTACATTTATAGGCTCTATAGGTCACCAGAATGATATACTATATATGGCTTCAAGTGGCATTGACATATATATATATATATATATATATATATATATATATATATATATATATATATACATTGATATTTGTCCAGAAATGAGAAAATCCATGTACTTTAATTACGTTGAAGCTTACATTGTGTATAGCACGTATGCAAGTCCATTTTCATCATGTTTATGTAATTTTGTAGCAGTGGTTTGATACTAATAAATGGCACTTGATGAAGGAATCGTGTTTGTGTTAAAATGACATGTTTGCATGTGTTTTTAACAGGCAGCCATGTTAGATTGAAATGGTTTATTCAAAATGTGTTACAGGCTAACAGTTTGAAATTCCCCTATCCAGTAAGAGGTATAACAGTACGCCGGCATGGTTTTGTTTCATCAGCTTGAAGCTGGTTGTCAGCACTTGTCACCATTGAAAAGTTTTAAGGACTTTCTTAAGAAAAATTGATGCTTGTTGACATTGTGTTGCATAAAAAAACGTAGCTTTTTAAAACAAACACAAATCCACCGTGTCCTTCAAATTCACGTTTGTTCAAGTGATCAAAAGAGTTTTGGAGAATGTTGATTAGAGGAATTTTGAGTTTTGCAACACATCAGGTGAAAAATCTTCCAGAGAAATGACAAGACCTTGTCTTCACGTGCCCTTATTTCTTATTCGAACCAGAAAATAACAAGTTAATAGGTTTAGTGAAGGTGTTTAGAAAATCAAACTATAATGCAACTATAAAAATAGGAAACAATGTAATAACATCCATACATTTAATGTATTTTTATTCATAGCTTGAGTCAATTATAAAAAGGTAATCATTGACTGATCATCAGCTACTGATTAAATTGTGATTCAAGAGTCAAGCTAGTAGATCTCATCAAACACAAAAGTGGCAAGAAATTAGCTGCGTAACAAACAAGTAACTGCCTAAAATATGTGCTTGAAGGTACAATGTTTACCCTTAAATAATCACAAAACAGTCTACTGTCTTAGTCATGTTGGAGGTAAAGTTCCCTTTAAACAGATATGCTTTTCGACCGGCTGGGGAGGTTGTCAGTTCTTCTCCTTATAAAACAGCCAAAGAGGGACGTAGTCATTGTTTACAATCTGAACGCCATTATGCGTCGGTGCAAGGGCTCTCCGACGGGCTCGCAGAGATTAACGGAGACATGCCCAGCT